ATAAAAAATTGTAACAATGAAAACAAGGATAAAAAGTTTTCTAACAATCAAAAAACTATGAACGAGATCATAAAACCTACCGTACGCAGCAAGATTGTACTGCAAAAAAAGAAAACGGTCGTACAAAACGGCCGACAAAGCAGCAAGAAAACAATTTCAACTTCACGAAAATCCGAGTGACGAGACAAGTAGTCACGCACTCGAACACGCGGAGGAAAAACACGGCCGGAAACGAAGTTCTCGAACAATCAAAAAACTACGAACGAGAGCACAAAGCCTACCGTACGTAGCAAGATTGCACTGCATAAATAAAACGGCCGTACAACACGGCCGACAAAGCAGCAAGAAAAACAAATTCCAACTTCACGCAAATCCAAGCAACGAGACAAGTAGTCACGCACTCGAATACGTGGAGGAAAAAACGGCCGGAAATACGGTCAAAATAAACAAATGACAATACTTAATTTCACAATATAAGTTGGGAGATGGGTTTATAGACTACTAATAGAGTAACAATATACTCAAACGACAATGGCAGTACGAAGAGAAGGAGTAAGAAAAGCACTTAGCTCAGACACCTCCACACTCGTCGGCAGCCATAAAGGTAAGAGGAAGGGAGATCACTCTGCGTTCCTGCCGTGATGGCTCATGGATCGTAGGGAGGGCGGGATTGTTTTTCTTTTGAATCTTTTGTTGTTGGGATACAAAGATGGGTGTAGGTACTGTATTTGCATACTAAAGTTATGGTAATTATTACTGAAATGAAAAGACTGTTTGTTGGTATTGAGGTGTTTATTCGTGTACATTTAAACAGAGTTTGTGTCACCCTCCAGGACGCTTCACTGTCACCAAATCTATATAATTACTATCGTATCAGATTATATAAAGAATCAGGGTGACGATGTAATCTCATTCTGTTTTGTTTTTGATGTCATGTCATCATTCTTTGATTATACATGTGAAGTTGAGAACATTTTGCCTGACTTGTAGTGTATAATTTTTTCTTTCCTTTTCTTTTCTTGTAGGACCTAGAAAATAATTGATATCTATTTTTCCATTGTCCTAAAATGAAATTGTGATTACTTTGACAACGACAGGTTTACTGTCTTCCATGAAAATATCAAACTAACTACAATGACATCTAAGCACAGGAAGCTACAGACAAAACAAGGAAATAAGAAATCTTGATATTATTGAAGGAGAAATAAAATGTTAGTGGGCCGGAATCTGGTGACAGATGATTATCTATATACAGTAGGAGTTGTCAGGACATTGTTGTTACATGCACGTAATGATCAAATTCAAAGGCCTGCTCATTAAATTATGTGACAGCTACATGTATGTTGATTTACTCAAATATCTTCTATGTAAATCTCATCAATTTGGAACATCTGTGGGATTGGACAGATTTTTAAAGACATGGCTGGTCACTTTCCTTAAATGATGACAAGGAAGACAGTGCTCCATCCTCGAGAGGGACATACTTAATGATAGACTGAGGCTTGGCAGTAAAGGACAGTCCCCCTGGTATCCTGGGGACTTGATGAAATCTGTCAGTACACCGGCTGAATTAGTATACTACTGTAGGTCTATGTAATGGCATTATGAAAATTACCTATCAATATCTACATTATAAATCAGTTTCCAGGAAGGACGCCTATTACAAAGCTTGTCACATACTAATGAAACATGTACGTAGGAAAATTATTTATAAAATTATTGTCTTGTATATTACACAAAGAACGGTAGAATTATTAACTTCCAATTAAATTTCAGAAACAGGGTCTGGGAATTTTCAAAAATGAGTCTTCAGAATTGTTAGATTTATATATTTGTTTGGAAACTCACATTAGAGGCTTTTCTAGTCAATGGTTTGGAAACTGTCGTACATGGCTTTCCTATTCATTGTTATAGGAACCTGGCATCATAAGATGCTGACACCAAAGGATTGTTTTATAAACACAGTATCATGAGAAACTGGCATCTGAGGATTTTCTAGTCATTGTTTTAGGAAACTAGCACTGACGTTGTCAGGAAAGTGGTATAAGACCTTTCCTAATCAATGTTATAGGAAATTGACATCAGATGGATTCCTGGTCAATGTTTTAGGAACTTGGTATCATGAGAAACTAGCATCAGAGATTTTGCTAGTCAATATTTTAGGAATCTGGTATCATGAGAAACTAGGATCATGAGAAACTGGCATCAGAGGTCATTCTAGTCAATATTTTAGGAACTCGGTACCATGAGACACTGGCATCAGAGATTTTGCTAGTCGGTATTTTAGGAATCTGGTGTCATGAGAAACTAGGATCATGAGAAACTGGCATCAGAAGTCATTCTAGTCAATATTTTGGGAACTCGGTACCATGAGACACTGGCATCAGAGGTCATTCTAGTCAATATTTTAGGAACTCGGTTCCATGAGACACTGGCATCAGAATTCATTCTAGTCAATATTTTAGGAAGTTGTTGTCTTTTCATGTCATTGAATGCATTAACATTAACAATACCCAGTTGAAATAAATGGCTCTTAATTACATATCTTTGTTCTGCAGTTTAGATGGAATTAAGGACAGAAGTAGAAGTGATACGGATGTTCCTGACAAGTGACAGATTGAGCACAGGTTACTGGGGACACAACCCCACTGTTCTTACTGCACCAGTGCATGTTATAGAGAGTAATGAGTGCTATGTCTCCCATGTCTGTAGAACGTTTCTTTTTCATATATTAAATCTGTTTTTGCTTCATTGACTTTTTAACTGTTGCTCAAGCTTACTGAATAAAAACATGTACCACTTAAATAGTTTTCTTAAAAAAACTCAGTTTAAGAAAAATCAAGAAACTAGGCTTGATGGCTTTAAAAGTAATTTGAAAACATAAGACATTTCTCCATTGTTCTTTTTATTTTACTTGAAATTGGTGGCTCCTTTTGGTTTGACCTTGACTGTTAAATATGCCTGATCTCAGCTATCGTATGTCTCTGTTCAACTTGTCATTTTACCAGTAGGCATTTTTCAACTATACTCATGCATTGGCTTCAGTCTCGAGACCACATATGTTTCATTAAGATTAGAATACCAAGTCAATAATTATTTAAGTTGCTGCCAGCCGAATTGTGTCTCAGAGGTACCCAAGCTCGTCTGTAAATACTCTAGTCACTATCTACATAACAGCATTACTTAACATTCTCCAGACAGAGTCAAGACTGGTCTTTATTAAAAAGTTGTAGAATGTAAGATTGACTCGACACGGAATGGTATATTTGTACGGAAATACTTACAAAAATTACCATTTAACAATTGATGGTCCTAGCACCAAATCACTGTCACACATTGTTTTCTAATTCAGGTAGTCACGGTCACAAAATGACTGATACCCTTCAGCTTATCATTGTCATAAAATAACCGGTACCCTTAAGCTAATCACTGTCACACAATAACTGGTCCCTTCCATTTAAACATTGTCACACAATAACTGGTCCCTTCCATTTAAACACTGTCACACAATAACTGGTCCTTTCCATTTAAACACTGTCACACAGTAACTGGTCCCTTCCCTTTAAACACTGTTACACAGTAGCTGGTCCCTTCCATTTAAACACTGTCACACAATAACTGGTCCCTTCCATTTAAACACTGTCACACAGTAACTGGTCCCTTCCATTTAAACACTGTCACACAGTAGCTGGTCCCTTCCATTTAAACACTGTCACACAATAACTGGTCCCTTCCATTTAAACACTGTCACACAATAACTGGTCCCTTCCATTTAAACACTGTCACACAATAACTGGTCCCTTCCATTTAAACACTGTCACACAGTAGCTGGTCCCTTCCATTTAAACACTGTCACACAATAACTGGTCCCTTCCATTTAAACACTGTCACACAGTAACTGGTCCCTTCCATTTAAACACTGTCACACAGTAACTGGTCCCTTCCATTTAAACACTGTCACACAGTAACTGGTCCCTTCCATTTAAACACTATCACACAATAACTGTCCTAAAGTCCTGTTTTTCACTCATAATCAATGATGTGCTGTGCTAATAACTGTGTGTCACTTTCTGGTAACCATAGAAAACAATACTGTTTTTTGATAATGACTGTGTGTCATTTTCTGGTAACCATAGAAAACAATGCTGTTTTTGATAATGACTGTGTGTCACTTTCTGGTAACCATAGAAAACAATACTGTTTTTTGATAATGACTGTGTGTCATTTTCTGGTAACCATAGAAAACAATATTTTTTTTTTGATAATGACTGTGTGTCATTTTCTGGTAACCATAGAAAACAATGCTGTTTTTGATAATGACTGTGTGTCATTTTCTGGTAACCATAGAAAACAATATTTTTTTTTTGATAATGACTGTGTGTCATTTTCTGGTAACCATAGAAAACAATGCTGGGTTTTGATAATGACTGTGTGCCATTTTCTGGTAACCATAGAAAACAATGCTGTGTTTTGATAATGACTGTGTGTCATTTTCTGGTAACCATAGAAAACAATACTATTTTTTGATAATGACTGTGTGCCATTTTCTGGTAACCATAGAAAACAATACTGTTTTTTGATAATGACTGTGTGTCATTTTCTGGTAACCAAAGAAAACAATACTGTTCTGTTGATCAAATATATCAGAAACCAAAATAAACATATTTTCTTTGAACTCACCTCATCTGAGGGACCAATAAGTGTAATAGCCCCTTAGGGATTTGCTTGTCTTCTGTTGATGATTTTTTCCCTTAAAACATTGCCAAATCCAGAAATTGGAATTGATTGTGAAATCTGCTTTTTTTGTTACGAGATTTGTGCAGATTTTAATATTGTGATATCAATGAGGAAGGACACATTTGTTATATAGGGGTATGGCCTAACAGGAGTAATGGAGGTAAATAAAAGGGATTGATGGATGTTAGAACAACTGTTTTGTTGAATCCTAAAGCAACAATTGTACCAGGTGTCTATCTAACAATGTTTTTCTGTTGTTTCAGTTAAACAAGAAATTGATTGAAGCTGTGAACATAGGAGGCACTGAAAACGTCATTGATGGTAAGATCTTACTCTCAGGAAGATCACAGACTGGTTTGTGCTGTCCTGATTGGGTCCTTTAGCAAGATTTGTCACTCCAATTGCATTTGATAGCATAGGGAAGACTTCTGTATGTTGTTCACTGAGGTAGCTCTAACAAGCAACTATAAAAAGAAATGACCTCAAAATGACCTAGACTGTTCATAGAGCAATAGACTCGGTAGACTTGAGTGTTAGTCAAGTAACCTGAGGTAAAGATTTTAGATGTGTAACATAATGTTTCCCAAACGATAGTGGTTTGTGTTTCTCAGGAAGCTGAGAAGAATTGTAGAGAGGTACTGTAGAGAGGAACTGTAGAGAAGTACTGTAGAGAGAAGTCGTGTAGAGAGGTACTGTAGGGAGGTACTGTAGAGAGGTACTGTAGAGAAGTACTGTAGAGAAGTACTGTAGAGAGGTACTGTAGAGAGGCACTGTAGAGAGGCACTGTAGAGAAGTACTGTAGAGAGGTACTGTAGAGAGGTACTGTAGAGAAGTACTGTAGAGAGGTGCTGTAGAGAGGTACTGTATAGAGGTACTGTAGAGAGGTACTGTAGAGAGGTACTGTAGGGAGGTACTGTAGTACTGTAGAGAGGAACTGTAGAGAGGTACTGTAGAGAGGTACTGTAGAGAGGAACTGTAGAGAGGTACTGTAGAGAGGTACTGTAGAGAAGTACTGTAGAGAAGTACTGTGGAGAGAAGTCATGTAGAGAGGTACTGTAGGGAGGTACTGTAGAGAGGCACTTATGAAATTCTGTTGTTAATCTCAGAATTACTCTTGAAACAAGTTTTTTTTTTATTCAACATGTTTTACACAATAATCGAGTTGTGCCCACTGTGCTCACATCCATGTCTGATATTCGTCCTATAAAGATTCAATCAGAATGTTGTTGATAGCTGCCCTCTTTACATCATATGTACAACATACTAAAATGCCTTGTAGAAAGCATCGCAGTAATATGACAAAATTAAGAATTGTCATGAAAGTTTTGACCTTTCCACAGAAGCATCCTGTTTTATATTAGATTTGTATTACGTCTCAAGAGAGATCTATTTAAATTTACGCTTTCTGTTTGATGTCAACAATGACGTCAGTGAGAGCATATAGAACAAAAATATGTTGTCATAAAACCCATAGATAATTATTTCCATCTTTTTCCCTTTCCTTCATTTTTCGGTTTGCTTAATTGTTTTCTAGGACAAATACATAAACAAATGTCTGGAGACAGTTTGTAATTTCCAATTCAACTGTCATGGATTTATGAGATATGGTGATATTCTTATCATTTTGTTTAGATTTAAATTAAACTGAATGTCAAACATTATCTGAGATAATCTGAAAGGAAATAATGTAAAATAAATAAAGTTTGTTCGTCCAAAACCCTAGTCTGAAAATCAGGAATGTCACAGCTGAGTCTATAAATCTTCATGGGAAACCCTACACCAACTATTCATGTTCACATAGGGCGATGGTAGAGGCAGAAGAGGTAATTGACTTAATCGTATTGGTTGTCGTTGGGATTCAAACGGTTACGCTGTTCATCAGAAAAGCGTTAGAGTAAGGAAAGCAACAGAGCCTGAAAAAGATAAAGTCGTTTTATCGCTGACCATTAACATTCAAATCATATGCCAACAGTAATCAGGCCTATAGCTCACATTCCACAAGTTATAGGTCTCTGTGCAGTTCTAGTATTGTCATACACTGTCAGCTAAAGTTTTGATCCCATCACAAAGTAAATAAGGCAATATAAATGTGTAGTGAAGGCTTTCTAAATTTTCAGTTATAAGCTGTGTATTATAATCTTCAATGTCAATGGAATCTGTAGTTTTACAATCAACTAAGACTTTTATCAATATCAGCTGTACACAATGAAGTACAATAGAATCTACTGCATTTTATCGACAGAAAGATGACCATATTGGATTTTGACAATTAACTTTCTTAATGCAATTTCTTGAGAAGTACAAGATGGATCTGTCTCAAATTTCATTTATTGAGACCTCTTTAGCCCTCACTGAGTCCTTTTGGTTTTTAGACTGTTTAAAAAACCTGAATTGCCAACAGGCGACCATATATGTTTTGGCAATTAGAGTTTATCATCAGTATTTCTTCAGAGGAATTTTCAAACTTCTTAGAATTAAGTTAAAAGAAAGAAAGAAAGATGAAAGAATGAAAGAAAGAAAAACAAACAAAGAAAAAAGACTACAGAAAAGAAAAGATAAGGGAATACAATCTAATTTTTAAGAACAAACGAAAATCAAGCAAAGATGGGCACCAAGATCCCCCTGGTATCTCTTGTTACATAATGGTGGGTGGACTATTCAAATCATTTTGTTGTCTGTCTGTCCTTCCATGATGGAACTTTTTCCAACAAATTCTCCTGGACTTTTAAGCAATTTGGAATTTTTTTGGTCACATGTGACAAAGTCTCAAGTGACCTATTATGATCACCTTTTGTCTGCCGGCATCCTGCTTGCATGCTGGGTTAAAGAGCTACACAGTTTGTTCAAATAAATGGCCTGGACATAGTTTCAAGGTCACAGGAGTCAAATGTGTTAAAATCTTTAAATGATTTCTTCTCAATAACCAAAATGCTGAGGGTCTTGATATTAGACAAGTATCATGCTGGGATTGAAGACTACCAAGCTTTTTCAAATGAATGACCTTGAACTATTTTTTGGATTTTGAGAGATTGTTTGTTATCTGGTTTTGAGAGATTGTTTGTTGTCTGGTTTTGAGAGATTGTTTGTTGTCTGGTTTTGAGAGATTGTTTGTTGTCTGGTTTTGAGAGATTGTTTGGGTTTTGAGAGGTTGTTTGTTGTCTGGTTTTGAGAGATTGTTTGTTGTCTGGTTTTGAGAGATTGTTTGGGTTTTGAGAGATTGTTTGTTGTCTGGTTTTGAGAGATTGTTTGTTGTCTGGTTTTGAGAGATTGTGTTTTGAGAGATTGTTTGTTGTCTGGTTTTGAGAGATTGTTTGTTGTCTGGTTTTGAGAGATTGTTTGTTGTCTGGTTTTGAGAGATTGTTTGTTTTCTGGTTTTGAGAGATTGTTTGTTGTCTGGTTTTGAGAGATTGTTTGTTGTCTGGTTTTGAGAGATTGTTTGTTGTTTGGGTTTTGAGAGGTTGTTTGTTGTCTGGTTTTGAGAGATTGTTTGGGTTTTGAGAGATTGTTTGTTGTCTGGTTTTGAGAGATTGTTTGTTGTCTGGTTTTGAGAGATTGTTTGTTGTCTGGTTTTGAGAGATTGTTTGTTGTCTGGTTTTGAGAGATTGTTTGTTGTCTGGTTTTGAGAGATTGTTTGTTGTCTGGTTTTGAGAGATTGTTTGTTGTCTGGTTTTGAGAGATTGTTTGTTGTCTGGTTTTGAGAGATTGTTTGTTGTCTGGTTTTGAGAGATTGTTTGTTGTCTGGTTTTGAGAGATTGTGTTATCTGGTTTTGAGAGATTGTTTGTTGTCTGGTTTTGAGAGATTGTTTGTTGTCTGGTTTTGAGAGATTGTTTGTTGTCTGGTTTTGAGAGATTGTTTGTTTTGGAGAGATTGTTTTGAGAGTTGTCTGGTTTTGAGAGATTGGTTTTGAGAGTTGTGTTGGTTTTGAGTGATTGTTTGTTGTCTGGTTTTGAGAGATTGTTTGTTGTCTGGTTTTGAGAGATTGTTTGTTGTCTGGTTTTGAGAGATTGTTTGTTGTCTGGTTTTGAGAGATTGTTTGTTGTCTGGTTTTGAGAGATTGTTTGTTGTCTGGTTTTGAGAGATTGTTTGTTGTCTGGTTTTGAGAGATTGTTTGTTGTCTGGTTTTGAGAGATTGTTTGTTGTCTGGTTTTGAGAGATTGTTTGTTGTCTGGTTTTGAGAGGTTGTTTGTTATCTGGTTTTGAGAGATTGTTTGGGTTTTGAGAGATTGTTTGTTGTCTGGTTTTGAGAGATTGTTTGGGTTTTGAGAGATTGTTTGTTGTCTGGTTTTGAGAGATTGTTTGTTGTCTGGTTTTGAGAGATTGTTTGTTGTCTGGTTTTGAGAGGTTTTGAGAGATTGTTTGTTGTCTGGTTTTGAGAGATTGTTTGTTGTCTGGTTTTGAGAGATTGTTTGTTGTCTGGTTTTGAGAGATTGTTTGGGTTTTGAGAGATTGTTTGTTGTCTGGTTTTGAGAGATTGTTTGTTGTCTGGTTTTGAGAGATTGTTTGTTGTCTGGTTTTGAGAGATTGTTTGTTGTCTGGTTTTGAGAGATTGTTTGTTGTCTGGTTTTGAGAGATTGTTTGTTATCTGGTTTTGAGAGATTGTTTGTTGTCTGGTTTTGAGAGATTGTTTGTTGTCTGGTTTTGAGAGATTGTTTGTTATCTGGTTTTGAGAGATTGTTTGGGTTTTGAGAGATTGTTTGTTGTCTGGTTTTGAGAGATTGTTTGTTGTCTGGTTTTGAGAGATTGTTTGTTGTCTGGTTTTGAGAGATTGTTTGTTGTCTGGTTTTGAGAGATTGTTTGTTGTCTGGTTTTGAGAGATTGTTTGTTGTCTGGTTTTGAGAGATTGTTTGTTGTCTGGTTTTGAGAGATTGTTTGTTGTCTGGTTTTGAGAGATTGTTTGTTGTCTGGTTTTGAGAGATTGTTTGTTGTCTGGTTTTGAGAGATTGTTTGTTGTCTGGTTTTGAGAGATTGTTTGTTGTCTGGTTTTGAGAGATTGTTTGTTGTCTGGTTTTGAGAGATTGTTGTCTGGTTTTGAGAGATTGTTTGTTGGTTTTGAGAGATTGTTTGTTGTCTGGTTTTGAGAGAGTTTGTTGTCTGGTTTTGAGAGATTGTTTGTTGTCTGGTTTTGAGAGTTTGTTTGTTGTCTGGTTTTGAGAGATTGTTTGTTGTCTGGTTTTGAGAGATTGTTTGTTGTCTGGTTTTGAGAGATTGTTTGTTGTCTGGTTTTGAGAGATTGTTTGTTGTCTGGTTTTGAGAGATTGTTTGTTGTCTGGTTTTGAGAGATTGTTTGTTGTCTGGTTTTGAGAGATTGTTTGTTGTCTGG